AGATATATATAATATATATATATATAGAGAGAGAGATTCTTTCCAAGGAAACATATATATTATATATATATAATTGCATCTTGTTGAAATGTGATGTTTCTGTTTCTCAAAATTGTTGTGATAAGCAGATAACTTTAGCTGTTATTTTGTGTGTATATTGGGAGTGAATAACAACAGCATTATTGCCACCACTGAAATTTTTATGTCTAGAATTATTATAGAATTAGGGACTCTTTATCTTTCATGTAAGTCGAGTCCAATCATTATAAGCAGAAAAATCAAACGCCAAAAACCTGTAGTTTCTTAAGAAGAAACCTCTGTATTCTAAAATTCTTTTCCTAAAGTTTACTAAACATGATGTGGTATATGTGTTTATTTGTAGGGACTGGTAACATCTGAACATACCAAATGAAACAGGCAAACTCTTCCACCATCGCTACCACGACATTTTACCACAAAAGCATGCCACTGCATGTGGATTCCAAGCAGGCTAAAAAGAAAAAGAACTGATTAGACCTCAGAAGACCCACTGAACGGGATGACGGCCACAGCTGAGGTAGAGACACCAAAAATGGAGAAGAGTGCCTCCAAGGAAGAGAAGCAGCAGCCTAAGCAGGACAGCACAGAGCAAGGCAATGCTGATTCTGAAGAGTGGATGAGCTCTGAGAGTGACCCTGAACAGATAAGCCTTAAGAGTAGTGACAACAGCAAGAGCTGCCACCCTAGGGATGGTCAGTTGAAGAAAAAGGAGATGTCCTCCAAGCCACACCGCCAGCTCTGTCGATCACCCTGCCTAGATCGTCCAAGCTTCTCCCAGAGCAGCATTTTACAGGATGGTAAACTTGACTTGGAGAAGGAATACCAAGCTAAGATGGAGTTTGCTCTAAAGTTAGGCTATGCAGAGGAACAGATTCAATCAGTGCTAAACAAGCTGGGACCAGAATCACTTATTAATGATGTATTGGCAGAGCTTGTCAGACTTGGGAACAAAGGTGATTCAGAAGGGCAGATCAACTTGAGTCTGTTAGTGCCTCGTGGGCCCAGCTCTAGAGAGATTGCAAGTCCTGAATTGTCTCTTGAAGATGAAATAGACAACAGTGACAATTTGAGGCCAGTTGTCATTGATGGAAGTAATGTGGCAATGAGGTAAGCCTGGTATGTTTTTTCTCTTTTTAAAAAACTGCCTGAGCTCATAAAAATTTTCTTCCTTTGCAAATCATTACAAGAGGTACAGGGTTAGTGACTGTGGCTTGTGTTTCTGAAGGTGACCAGAAACTAAAATGATCCTGCCCTTGCCTTTTCTATCTCCACTGAAGTTGCTGCCAATGTGCGTTCAGGTGTTCGGAAGGCAGGTTCGACAACAGTGATGATGCTTCAGAGGAGACGTAGCCATTCAGCTTTGTTCCTTTTGGGGTCTGCTATCCCACCTCTAGACTAATCATCCGGAAAATGCTGCTTTTATAAAGTCACTTTGGGGTTTACTTAGGAACTTTCAGTAACTCTCAACTGTTATTATACTGAATTTTTATCCTTTTCCCTGGCTTTAAGGCTCTTTGTGATCTGGCCTTTCCCTCCTCCCATTTAATTGCATTTCTCACGCTTACTGCATTTACATTTATCTCTTTAATGGTCTTTATGTAAATTATGCTGATTTCTATTCCCACTACCTGTGTTCATGTAATTTCCCAATATAGAAGTGGCCTCCTTTTTATCTTCATAGCCTTCAAAATGCACCACCTCCATAAAGACACTCTTAATTTTTCTGATTCCAATGATGATCTCTGACCTACAATATCTGTGGTAGGCTGAATGATAGCCCCCTGGAGATGCCCACATTTTAATCCCTGGAATCCCTGAACACATTATCTCATATGGTAAAAGGGACTTTGCAGATGTTACTAAGGTTCTTGAGATGGGAGAGATTACCCTGGATTATCAATGTGGGCCTAATGCAATCTCAAGAGTCTTTATTAGAGGGAGGCAGCAAGATCAGAACAGGTAGAAGATGCAATGGCAGAAATAAGAAACTGGAGTGACATAAGAAAGGGACTATGAACCAAAGAATGTGGGTGGCCTTTCTGACCCATTGGACTGTTTCAGAAACAAACAACAAAAAAGAGGATGGGTGGCCTCTAGAAAGCTGAAAAGGGGAAGGAAACAGATTCTCTCCTTAAGCTTGCAGAAAGAACACAGCTTTGCTAACATCTTGATTTTAGATTTCTGACCTCTTGAACTTGTAAGACAATAAATCGGTGCTATTCTAAGTCACTAAGTGTGTGGTAATTTGTTACAGCAGCAGTGGTAGCATAGTACCTACAGTGCCTTCATAATTTAGTCCATACTCTCTCATATCATTTTTTAATTTTGTGTCAGAGAGCCGTAGGAATCCCTCCTTCTATTTCTCAAATGAATTGTCATCCCGCCTTGGTTGAAAAAAACCCAGTAATCAGCAGCCTATTACCTACCGAGTCCATCATTGCTTGATTGGGTGCTCCCACAGAGACATGAGAGAGTGGGGATCGTAGAAAGTCATGAACCATACCATTGCCATATACAGGAAATGCTTAGCGGGCTACCTGGAAGTACATTTTAGCATATAGTCCTGTTTAATCCTCACAGCAACTTTATCTTACTGATGAAAAAATAAAGCTCAGCAAAGTTAAGTGACTTCCCTGAGTTTACATAGCTAGTAAGCAGTAAAGTGACAAACTTAAGTCCTCTGACTTCAAATGAATGAAATGAAACAAACTAACATTTATGAATACTGATTCTGTGCCAGGTTCTTTCACGTATGTGAATTAATCCCCATTGGAAACCCCATAATAATAAACTAATTTGATTCATTTTTGCAGGTGAAGAGATTCAGGTTCAGAGAATTTGAGTAACTACGCAAAGTTACCCAAGGTTACAAAACTTAGATTAAAACACTAGCCTGACCCCAATTCTCTTTTCACAATATCACACAGTATTATGTGGCTATTAGTGTTACTAAGAATATCTGGGCCAGGCACAGTGGCTCACACCTATAACCCAGCACATTGGGAGGCCGAGGTGGGAGGATCGCTTGAGCCCAGGAGTTCAAGACCAGCTTGGGCAACATGGTGAAACCCTTACTCTATGAAAAATACAAAAACTAGCTGGGCATAGTGGCACATGCCTGAAGTTCCAGCTACTCAGGAGGCTGAGGTGGGAAGTTCTCTTGAGCCCGGAAGGTCAAGGCTACAGTGAGCAGTGACCTCACCAATGTGCTCCAGCCTGAGTGACGGAGTGAGACCCTATATAAAAAAAAAAGAAAAGAAAAAAAAGAATATTTGGTGAATTTGCTAGTAGCAGAGAATACATTTACAGATTTCCTTTTTCAAAGTTTTAAAACCATGACAGCATCATCATTATAAGGTGAGTAAACCAGGCCAGACGACTCCTTTGTTTTAATGAGGGGAAACCAAAAGCACAGTAACAAGAAAGTTAAATGGCCTGCACACAATGCTACAGCAATCAGAATGATGCAGTGGGCCAGTGAAAAGCAAAGGATGACGCCTGTGTTCCAAAGCCCAAAGGTATCTCTGCTGCCCTCCTAACAGGCATAAGAAAGAGTGATTCTTGAGCGGAAGGAGTTTGGGATGTGCCCAGCTCAATTTGTCACCAAACCAGACCACCCAAAATACCCTAGATTGGACATGTTTCCCAAGGCCTACCCTTTTCTTTTTTGGTCTGGTCGGGTTTTGTGTTTCGGAGTTGAGGATGAGAAGAGCCTAAGGCATTCTTGGGGACTTTGGCTTCATGGTAATGTATAACTTCCGTCTCTCTGGACTTCTATTCAAGGATTGCTGATCATGAAGGACGCTCTTTTTTTTTTTTTGAGACGGAGTTTCACTCTTGTTACCCAGGCTGGAGTGCAATGGCGCGATCTCGGCTCACCGCAACCTCCGCCTCCTGGGTTCAGGCAATTCTCCTGCCTCAGCCTCCTGAGTAGCTGGGATTACAGGCACGCACCACCATGCCCAGCTAATTTTTTGTATTTTTAGTAGAGACGGGGTTTCACCATGTTGACCAGGATGGTCTCGATCTCTTGACCTCGTGATCCACCCGCCTCGGCCTCCCAAAGTGCTGGGATTACAGGCTTGAGCCAGAAGGACGCTCTTTTGCTTTTTAAGGAATAATGCAGAGATTAAATACTTGGATAATTAGTTTCAACATATCTGGTCTATGTCAGTAGCAAACTACTATACTGACAGGAAAGTGAACTTTTATCTCCTGTACAAGTTACTTCGCTAAATTAATGGCATCTTGCATGATTTAAATAAAGCAAAAAACAATAACATGCAACCTTATTATTAAGAGCATACTAAAATAGTGCAGAGTAGACCATGTGATTTTTTAAAAATTACCAATTGAGTCCTTGTTAGCATCTTTTTTTTTTGGTCTGAGTAGTAAATTACTGATGAGTCCCATTTATTCTGCAATCACATTTCACATGCTCAAAGTTCAGCGCTATACTCTACTTATGGATTTATTATTACTGTTAATCTAAATTTAGTTTGTTTTCCTCATTAGTTAGCTGTAAGTTTATGGTGAGATTGGTATTTTTCTTAGACGAACTACATGTTAATGTCTGTTGTTTCTCAGCCTGTTGGATGAGCCTGCATTAAAATTATGACGCTGGCCAGGCACAGTGGCTCATGCCAGTAATCCTAGCACGTTGGGAGGCCAAGGCAGGCAGACTGCTTGAGCCCAGGAGTTCAAGACCATCCTGGGCAACATGACAAAAACCCACCTCTACTAAAAGTACCCAGCGTGGTGGTGTGCACCTGTAGTCCCAGCTACTTGGGAAGCTGAGGGAGGAGAATCACTTGAGCCCAGGGAGATTGAGGCTGTAGTGAACCAGGATCATGCCACTGCACCCAACCTGGGTGACAGAGAGATTGAGGCTATAGTGAACCAGGATCATGCCACTGCACCCAACCTGGGTGACAGAGAGAGACCCTGTCTCCAAAAATAAAATAAAATTATGGGCCAGGCCTGGTGCCTCACCTCTGTAATCCCAGCACTTTGGGAAGCCTAGGCAGGAGGATCATTTGAGGTCAGGAGTTCAAGACTAGCCTGGCCAAGAAGGCAAAACCCCATCTCTACTAAAAATACAATGCTTTGTTTGCCATTAGCAGCATTTGGTTAACATTTGCAGTAGTAGTGTACCTGTGGTCCACATACTGATTATCCTAAAGGGTACATTCATTCTGAGAGCTGTCTCCTTTGGGAGGAGAAATCCATTTCAGAGGAATTAAGGCTTTGAAATGTAAATGTAACCATATTCTTGTTAAGTCTAGGAGAAGCCCAAACATTTGAACCCTAGAGAAAGCAAGTGCACAGGGAGGGGCCAATGACCTCTCTGCTAAGCTGAATTTGGCTTGGGAACCTGGATCATGAGGGTTCCTAAGCCAGTTTACAAGACAAAGTGAGCTGTAGTGTCGCCAAGATACTCTGTGACTTGCAGGTCCTAGGGTTTTTAGCTTTTTTAGATTGGAAAAGGACATTGTATGGGTTTAAGCAAAAACAAGCCACTTGCAAGCATTACTTTATTTTCCACTTTTTTAAAAAAATTATTCATTCTTTAAATGTTTTGGGGACAATAAACTTTGCATACTTGGCTGTTGTGTAGGTCTTCATTGCCACCTTGATAAATGTTGAAAGTACCTTCTGATTCTTATTGGACATTTGGTGTGCCTCCAATGCTTCAGTGGCATACTTTTATTATATTTTAATGGGATGCCATAGGTATCTTACATTTTTTTATTAACATAATTCTCAGTATGTTAGGAAATCTCAAAATACAAATATATCAAAATATTAACAGTGTTTGTCTCTGGATAGTAGTAAAACAGTTGGATTTTGAAGTTTTTTTTCTTTATACTTTATGTATTTTCCACATTTTATATGATAACTACATATTACATTTTTAATGATGAAATATATACATATATATCTATGTATATGTTTCAAGACAGGGTCTCACTCTGTCATCCAGGCTGGAATGCAGTGCCATGAGCTCACTGTAACCTCAAACTCCTGGGCTCAAGTGATCTTCCTGACTCAGCCTCCCGAGTAGCTAGGACTACACGTGTGCATCACTATACTTAGCTAATTTTTTGTAGAGACAGGGTCTCACTCTGTTGCCCAGGCTGAAAAAAAATATTTTTTTAAACAAACAATTTGGCAGTATAAAATATAAAGTTGCCGTATCTAACAGCAAATGGTACTCTTATATTTATGTCGGACTTACTGTTTGGGAGAAGATCATAGCACTGCAGAGCCCAATGAAATTCCATCCCTTTCCCTCAAATCCCCCCTCTAATGGCAATTCTGATAATTTTCCCAAATTCTATTTTTCTTTATACTTACCAGCACCGTAGCAGAGGGAAAATTCACAACTGGACATCTTCTCTTCCTGACTGTTTCATGCTGAGTTCATTCAATATTAACCCTTTAAGCACTGTGGCCTTGCGTGATTTCCTCATTGTTCAACTTTTTAGGAGTCAGCGGTAGTTATCTCTAAGGCTTGGAGTATATTGACAGCTAAATATATTTTCCTTTTGTTTCTTAAGTGCTTTCAACTTTCAGTTGAGTAGTATAATTGCTTTATGGTACTCATTAGGGACTTTTAAACATGATTAGCATATGCTTGGAAATGTTAATAAAAGCATTTAATGAATTTTTGCAATTTGCCTCAAGAGCAATAAGGCAGTGAGAAGTTTTCCAGTACAAGAATTGATAAGGCCCCTGATATTATATATGAATTCACCCAAAAGTAACAGTATATTGGAGTTAATTTCTGTAGTAGTTGAGTGAGCCAGTGCCGGTGAAAAGGTGAGGAATCCAAAGCGAGAAGCCCTGTCACGTTGTCTTAATTAGCCTTCTCACAAAACAATTCTTTTCTTCTCATCAGTCTTAAAAGACAATAGCCACTTGATTGTAGTAGAATTGGTACATGTACACCCATTTGTTACCATCCAAGCTGTTTAATTAACTATAATTTAGTGTGATTTATGTATACGTCAGAGCACTAGATACCATGCTAAGAGATCATCTGATTTTGTATAATTTTTGTATAATTTTCACAGCCAAACTAGGCCCAAATCTAGTGCATCTTTTCCCAATTTATCTGCAAATTTTCTCTCATCCAATTTCTATTTAAATGATTTCTGTTTGGCTTTTTAAGTTTTCACAATCTTTAATCCTACAAGTAATTCTGATAGAATTTTTTCTCTTTTATATCATGTTCTGGTTATAAAAAGAATACTTGAATTTCTTTTTTCTTTTTAATAAGGATAGATTCTAGCTATGTTGCCGAGGCTGGTCGCAAATTCCTGGGCTCAAATGATTGTCCCACCTCGGACTCCCAACATGCTGGGATTACAGGCCTGAGCCATCACGCCCGGCCAGAAATATTTGATTTTTTAAGGATATTTTGGAATTAGAGAAAGAAAATAAATCATGTAGAACAACAATAATTATTAATATTTCATGTATTTATTTATCGTATTTTTTCTAAGCTTATACATAGATTTTCTTCTACAAAATTGAGATTACATTATATATAGTCTGTAGTTTTTCTTTTCTCTTTCAGAATTATGAGCATTTCCTACATCTTAAAATTTTCATGAATATGATTTTTGTTGGTGCATTATATTTAATTAAATGGATATATGTAACAAGCATTTTCAGTGAGCATTGATGTGCATATCTTTTTTGCCATTGATGTTATTTTTGAAGCTTAGCATATATGTGCTTAAGACTTATCTCCTGGCTGAGCGCAGTGGTTTACGCTTATAATCCCAGCACTTTGGGAGGCTGTGGTGGGTGGATCATGAGGTCAGGAGTTCAAGACCAGCCTGGCCAACACAGTGAAACCCCATCTCTAAAAAAAAATAAAAAATGAAAAAAGTAAAAGACTTATCTCCAATTAATACTCTATATAAATTTTAAAGCTCTGGTAATACCTTTACATTTTTTATCTTTTGTGAATATCTCAATCCTTGAAAAGAAAGTGGTAGCAGAAACAGAAAGAGAAGACAGAAAATGGAACTAGTAATAGGAGATAGCTATCAGGGCTACAATAAATTGAGAGTTATTACTAATCATCTATGGCCCTGAATGAAGTTTGTAATAATAATGGCAAATTTGTAACAATTAAAAAGTACTTGATTTGTTCTTTAAAAAGCATATTACTTGGCATTATCAAGAATGTAAATGTCATGGCTGGCCGCAGTGTCTCACGCTTGCAATTCTAGCATTTTGGGAGGCTGAGGCAGGCGGATCACCTGAGGTCAGGAATTTGAGACCAGCCTGGCCAACATGGCAAAACTCGGTCTCTACTGAAAATACAAAAATTAGCCAGGCATCGTGGTGCACGCCTGTAGTCCCAGCTACTCAGGAGGTCAAAGCAGGAGAATCATTTGAATCCAGGAGGCAGAGGTTGCAGTGAGCCGAGATCATGCCACTGCACTCCAGCCTGGGGGACAAAGTGAGACTCCATCAAAAAAAAAAAAAAAAAATGCTATGACCATATTACCAATTGCAGAAATAAAGACTATAATTTTTATGAAAAAAAAAAAGAAAGGAAAGAAAGAAAGAAAAAGAAAGAAAGAAAGGAAGGAAGGAAAGAGGGAAGGAAGGAAGGAAGGAAAGAAGGAAGGAAGGAAGGAAGGAAAGAGAAAAGAAAAGAAAGAAAAAAAAGAAAAGAAAAGTCTATTATTAATACCTTCGTACTAAGAAAAAGCCTGCTTCAGGTATTTCTTTGCTACGTATTATCAATCTTGTCTCCTCTTATTCTCTATCTTCCTAAAGCCATGGGAATAAAGAAGAATTCTCCTGCAGAGGAATACAACTTGCTGTGGATTGGTTTCTAGATAAAGGCCATAAAGATATTACTGTATTTGTGCCTGCATGGAGAAAGGAGCAATCCCGCCCTGATGCACCAATTTCCGGTACTGTATCAAATAAGACATTTCTTCTCATCTAGAGACAAATCTGGAAAGATAGTCTGGGGAAAGATTGATGGTTCCAATGTAGATATTTATTTTTCAAAGTTGTTAAGTATATTTGAAGTATTTTTATTAAGTGTATATTTGAAAAGATTTCCAGATAAAGCCATCATTACTTTGTGGCATCTGACAGTTAAATAAAGAAAACTTCAATTCAGCAAAAGATAAAACACAAAAGTCTGGTACCTAGGGCCAATGATATTGTTAAGGGCCATGAAAATGTCTTAATTTTATTTTCTTCTCACATCAGAAGAAAAAATTGAATATAATAGCAATGCATGTATAATGATGTATCTAGCTGGGTTATCCTTGGCTTTATATCAAAGTAACTGAAAATGAAATTTTTAATATTTAATATTTCTCTTTTTTTGTGAGACAGGGTGTCGCTCTGTCACTTAGGCTGGAATGCTGTGGTGTGATCATGGCTCATTGCAGCCTCTACCTCCCTGGGCTCAGGTGATTCTACCACCTCTGCCTCCTGACTGGCTGAGACTATGAGCAGGTCCCACCAAGCCTGGTTAATTTTTGTATTTTTAGCAGAGACGGAGTTTTGCCATGTTGCCCAAGCTGGTCTTGAACTCCTGGGCTCAAGCTATCTGCCCGCCTCAGCCTCCCAAAGTGCTAGGATTACAGGTATGAGCCACCATGCCCAGCCAATATTTAACATTTCTTACAGAGGAAGGGGCCCAAGAAGGCAAAAATGCCTAAGGTGCTCAAAAGTCATGATGCAGTCCTAATGGCAGAAGCGTCTCTACATTCATTTACAACTGTCTTCTGAGCATCAGCTATTGCCGGGTATGCCTAATGAGAAAGTCCAGTGAATGGCTGTCTGAGCTGTGTGTGAAGCTATTTGCCATCTGCTTAACAGACTCTTGAGCCTCAGTCTGAGAATAGATCCTCGCCCTGTTCAAGCCCAGTCAGCAAACTTTTTTGCCTCAGCAATCAGGAGACCAAAAGGAAAGGGCGTCAGCACTCAGATGCTATAGCTTGATGTTTCATCCTAGTTTTGCCCTTCCCTCTGGCAAAAGCCAAAAATGTAAGTCCCTAAGAGACATGCTTTAGTTTCCTCCTGACAGACACATCCTCAGTACTTCCCTGTTAGAAATCAACAACCAAAAAGCTGGTGCTTTGGCCAAAGGACAAAACAAGCATCAAGAATGTTAAGATATCAATGTTCCTCTTACTCTTCTTGGTAGTTTTTAAAACTTAGATGTCATTGAATCCAGTTCCTTCATTTTATCAAAAAGAAGACTGAAGTCCAAAGGGGAAGATGACTTGCCTAAAGTCATACTCCAAATTGATATCATAAGCCAGGAACAGGGCCTACTTTCTCTCTAAAGAGCACATAACATCGTCATCCAGTACCAACATTTGCATTTTTAATATTAATACTGTTAATTTCCAAAGATGATTTCTGCTCTGTGGCATATAATCGTATTTTAACAGATCAAGATATTCTAAGAAAACTGGAGAAAGAAAAGATTCTCGTCTTCACACCATCCCGAAGAGTCCAAGGCAGGAGGGTTGTCTGCTATGATGACCGGTTCATAGTCAAACTGGCTTTTGACTCTGATGGCATCATTGTGTCCAATGATAACTACCGAGACCTTCAAGTTGAAAAGCCAGAATGGAAGAAGTTTATAGAGGAGCGGTTGCTGATGTATTCTTTTGTGAATGACAAGTGCGTTTCTTTCCACTAGGCCTATATCCAAGTTATCAGTAGGAATAGACTTCATTTCATTTTAATAAACATTCACCGAACACTTACTGTGTATCATACATTTTGCTGGTTGCCATAGAGATGAAAGGATGAATAAGGAAAAGGACTCACCCTTAAGGGGCTCAAAGTGTAGTAGAGGAGCGAAAGAGACAACCACAATGTGTTGCTGTAAGAGCTATAGTTAAAAGTTGTTTCTTAAAATTGCTTTGTCTATATGAAGAAATAGAAAAAGGCATCCGAGAGGAGACGTTTCAGATCAAGTTTACAGATGGAAGAAAGGGGGCTGCTAGGCATGACAGGTGAGGGGGATATCATGAATAAAGTTATGAAGGCATGAAAGTGGGTGGCATATTGGGGGAACCAGCAGACACGCCAGCATGGCTAGAACATATAGTTCATGGAAGAATGTTGAACAGGGAAAATCATCCTTTCTATATGATAAAGTGGCAACAAAGGGAAGAACTGCCATATTAGCAGAGGAAGGGCAATTAGAAGGCTGTGACAGCAGTACAGACACGAAAGTCTAAACGTCTAGTAAGGAGTAGGGGACAGAAAGGAAGACAGTCACCTCTTGCTTACTTCGTTTCAGATTTATGCCTCCAGATGATCCTTTAGGACGCCATGGCCCAAGCCTTGAAAATTTCTTAAGAAAGAGACCCATTGTTCCTGAGCATAAGAAGCAACCATGTCCTTATGGTGAGTACCTATGCACAAAATTAAGTTCTGTACCACAGAAAACATAAGGATTCTGTGAACTCTTTTCTCTTCCAGGTTTCCCTTTCAAATGGGAAATCCTGGTTTGTCCACTGTCTGTGAGTTAAAGTTTGTGTCTTCATGTACACTGTTAGGTAATTAAAGAAAAATCTTAGAAACTGAATGAGGAAAAGGTAGCTAGAATTGAATGGAAGATTAGTTGTCACTTGTGACAATAGAACATGTGCTCTAGCTGCCTACGTCCTGAACTATGTTGCTGTGAGCAGGGAAACAGAGAAACCTATATGGCCTGTGGAAGCAGAAAGGGCAATACCAAACTGAGTTTGGCCCCAATATGAACATGTGTCTCAGGCAGGTGACTGGACCCTCTGTCAATTGATACTGATCTTTCCTTTAGATCTGTCCTTTCCAGTTTTTGTTTGTTGTTTGTTTGTTTGTTTTAAACAAAGTCTCGCTCTGTCACCTAGGCTACAGTGCAGTGGCACAGTCTTGGCTCACTGCAACCTCTGCCTCCTGGGTTCAAGCGATTCTCCTACCTCAGCTTTTCCAGTAGCTGGGACTACAGGTGTGTGATGCCACACCTAGCTAATTTTTGTATTTTTAGTAGAGACAGCGTTTTACCATGTTGGCCAAGCTGGTCTCAAACTCCTGACCTCAGGTGATCCACCTGCCTCGGCCTCCGAAAATGCTGAGATTACAGGCATGAGCCACCACGCCAGCCTAAGTTTTTTTGTTTTTTTGTTTTTGTTTTTAAATACATATAGTTTTCTAGTGTTTTCATGCTCTTACCCAAGTCCCTCTGAAACAAGGTTTGTGCGACGTGGGCTGCTTGATCTGAGGCTACTTTGGATGTCTGTCCTTTTTGGATGATCATTTGTTTTGTGGGGTGTTTTGGTTTTTGTCCTCAACATTTAAGTCACAGAGTACTTTCATGTTCATTATCTCATTTAATCTATACAATAACCCTATAATATAGGCATGATGATCAACCTTGTTTACAGAAGAGGAAAATGAGGCTCACAAAATATAGTCACTTACCAAGATCACACAGCTAGTAAGGGACATAGTTGGAATTGAAATTCAGATGTGACTGGACTCCAAACCTGTGCTCTGTGCACTGCATTATGCTGCTTTCAGTTACTCTGTGCTGCTTCAGCATGCAGATTATGCCTAGGCAAAGTTGTGCATTATCGAAAAATTAAAGCTTCTCAACTGCTCAGCTTTAGCTTTTTTTTTTGACAGGGTCTTGCTCTATCACCTGTGCTGGAGGGCAGTGGCATGATCATGGCTCACTGCAGCCTTGACCTTTCAGGCTCAAGCGATTCTCTCACCTCAGCCTTCTGAGTAGCTGGGACTACAGACGTGCATCACCGCGCCCAGCTAATTTTGTTTGCATTTTTCTTTACAGATGGGGTTTCACCATGTTGCCCAAGCTGGTCTCGAACTCCTGGGCTGAAGTGATCCACCCATCTCAGCCTCCAAATTGCTAGGACTACATACATGAGCCACCGCATCCAGCCAGCTCTTAGCTTTTATGCTGCAATTTTCTCCATAGCTTTCCACTTTCTCTCTCCCCTCACAGTGTGTGATGCCTCCTTGGTGTTGTCTGTCTCTCATCTTTGTGGACAGTTAATTTTCTGCCTTTACCCCAAACAGTAAAGCCCTAACCTGAGTGACCAGATTGTTACAACAGTTTCTGGCACGGAGGGTTACATCACTGAGAGAGAGTCTTACCCCAAGGCATTATTTTTCAGGCAAAAAATGCACCTACGGCCACAAGTGCAAATACTACCATCCGGAGCGGGCCAACCAACCCCAGCGTTCGGTGGCTGATGAGCTCCGCATCAGTGCCAAACTGTCCACAGTGAAAACTATGAGTGAAGGCACCCTGGCCAAGTGTGGCACAGGGATGTCTAGTGCCAAAGGTGAGATAACCTCAGAGGTCAAACGTGTGGCCCCCAAGCGCCAATCAGATCCCAGCATCCGATCTGTGGCTGTGGAGCCTGAGGAATGGCTGTCTATTGCCCGTAAGCCTGAGGCTAGTTCTGTCCCTTCTCTTGTGACTGCCCTAAGTGTCCCCACAATCCCACCCCCTAAAAGCCATGCAGTGGGTGCACTCAACACCCGTTCGGCCAGCAGCCCAGTGCCAGGATCTTCCCATTTCCCCCACCAGAAGGCCTCTTTGGAGCATATGGCCAGCATGCAGTATCCTCCCATCCTGGTTACCAACAGCCATGGGACCCCTATTAGCTATGCTGAGCAATATCCAAAATTTGAATCCATGGGGGACCATGGCTACTATTCAATGTTAGGCGATTTCTCCAAACTGAACATCAACAGCATGCATAATCGAGAGTATTACATGGCTGAAGCAGACCGGGGGGTGTATGCCCGGAATCCTAACCTCTGTCCTGACAGCCGTGTGAGCCATACCAGGAATGACAACTATTCCTCTTACAACAACGTGTATTTGGCTGTTGCTGATACCCATCCTGAAGGCAATTTGAAGCTGCACCGCTCAGCATCCCAGAACCGACTTCAGCCTTTTCCTCATGGTTACCATGAAGCCTTAACACGAGTGCAGAGCTATGGCCCAGAGGATTCTAAGCAAGGCCCTCACAAACAGTCAGTCCCCCACTTAGCTCTGCATGCCCAGCACCCAGCAACTGGAGCACGTTCCAGCTGTCCTGCAGACTACCCCATGCCTCCCAATATCCATCCTGGGGCAGCCCCCCAGCCAGGCCGTGCCCTGGTGATGACTCGGATGGATAGCATTTCTGACTCCCGCCTCTATGAGAGCAACCCTGTGAGGCAAAGACGACCTCCCCTGTGCCGGGAACAGCATGCCAGCTGGGACCCGCTGCCCTGTGCAACTGACTCCTATGGCTACCACTCCTATCCCTTGAGTAACAACCTCATGCAACCATGTTATGAGCCAGTCATGGTACGGAGCGTGCCTGAAAAGATGGAGCAGCTTTGGAGGAATCCTTGGGTTGGAATGTGCAATGATTCCAGGGAGCATATGATCCCAGAGCACCAGTATCAGACCTACAAGAACCTCTGCAATATTTTCCCTTCTAACATCGTCCTTGCAGTGATGGAGAAGAATCCCCACACAGCAGATGCCCAACAACTGGCAGCCTTGATTGTTGCTAAGCTTAGGGCTGCACGTTGATATGACATAGTACTTATTTCTTTATACAAATATGAATATTAATACTAATACACGAATACAATTATAGTAACTAATAATTTGTGTTGCGCTTTACAAGTTAGAGTGTTTACATCATTTAAGCGCATAACAACCCTGTGAGGTAGGTCTTAATAACATCCTCTTTTATAGAGAAGGAAGCTGTAGCTCAGTGAAATTAAGTGGCTAGCCAGGGTCACACTGCTAGCAAATGACCAAGTCAAGACACACACCCAAGTCCTCTAATTCCAAGTCCCATGCCCTGTTGCACTGCACCATGCAGGTAAGGGAGGACAAAACCCAGGGGGAGAGGTCTAGATGCAAGAAACCCCAGAGGATTCTTTCTTTCTTCCTTTTTTTTTTTTTTTTTTTTGAGACAGAGTCTCACTCTGTTACATAGGCTGGAGTGCAGTGGCGTGATCTCTGCTCACTGCAACCTCCACCTCCAGGGTTCAAGCGATTCTAGGGCCTCAGCCTCCCGGGTAGCTGGGATTACAGGCGTGCACCACCATGCCCGGCTAATTTTTGTATTTTTAGTAGAGACGGAATTTCACCACGTAGGCCAGGTTGGTCTCAAACTCCTGGCCTCAAGTGATCCGCCGCCTCAGCCTCCTAAAGTGCTGGGATTATAGGTGTGAGCCACCACGCCCAGCCTACCAGAGTTTTCAGTCACATATTCTATATTACAAAGTATGGATGATATATCCAATTTAGAGAGCAAAAGCATTAGGATCAGATCATATGTTGAATTAACCTTTTAGGTTTTTTCTAATAGAAATATTTAAAGCTATTTAAAAGTAAATGCATACTTTATTGCATGGATATCTGATCATTCAGTCTTTATTAACCAAGCTATAGGGTCACATTGAAGCTTCTAGAACTATATTTTAAACCTATTATTAGCAATTATATTGCATGTATGAATGTATATATTTGGTTTGAGATGTGTACGTATCTCTGTACAACCTTTCATATAGTGATAATGAGAGGGTAGGCTCTACGCAGTCCTTAGTCTATAGCTGTATAGGTCACTAATCTGACTTGATGATTTTAAGTCACATTTCATAGTTTCAACTAGTTTTGAGAGTGAAATTATATGGCAATATTTGAACATTGCTTTCTTAGGCACCAGAGCAAAGCAGCTCTATTTCCTTTGCACATTTTACTTGCCAACATTTATTAACAGTTCTTAGCTTCCAAGTCTCTTCACCTTAGCAAATTAGGGATCAGGTTGCACTCTTCTGCAGAGGAACTGGTGGTTAAGCTCACGTTCCAAACATAGTATGTGTGTGCTACACAAGCTCAGAAGAGTTTGACAAGGACCAGGGGACTTACCACCACAGTCCACTTCCCTTATTCCAGGAGAGATGGCCAAACCCATGTGGCATTAAATGGTGAATAAAAAACCTTCACTCAAGGAGGGACTATTGGATGCTCTTTGGACTTCCGACCTATGCAGTATTCAACATCCCAGGATGAGATGTAATGGAGGACAGTGCATAGCCATGTAATCCAGTTTCCCTTGCTGTCCACCCTTTGGGTAATAAGGTCAATCATTGGTGGAACAGAATTTCTTTAGGAAACAAACCCAGGAAATTTGCTAGGTAGAAAAAGGCAGTTTCCAAAATGGGATACTGCATCTTTGCTAGTAGCTGGCTCAGTTATGCACTTTAAATCCACGCAAAGAGAGTGCATTTGCTGTTAAATAATTGTTAGATATTACAAGGCAGGACTTTTGGTTTAGGCAACACCATTTGCGCAACTTGTACCTTGCTCAGGGTGGAAAACTTTGTAGCTAAATGCCTCTAGAAGAGGTGTTTATTGTTTTTTTTTTAAGCTGCACTAAAGGAATTCCCTTTTTGAATCCATTGTATATTTCAATATTTCGAACCATGACCAGCTCACTATTTCCTGAGCTGGAACTTGCTAACTTCTATGATCGTTTTTTCATGAAAGTTGAGAAGGCCGGGCCTTGGCCTTTTGTTTCTTCATGAGAAGGTATGACACTGCCTATAAATGTTTCTTACTGTGAAACACTCTGAATGTGAGGCTGTAGTCAGGGTTGTTTCTGGTGGTTTGATAATGGCTTGCATGCTGCTTTCTGGCTTTCTGTCTCTGTCCAAGTTGATCAATACTGCATCTTAACCAATGTTTCACTTCAGTTAACCACAGCTTTACATTCTATCTCCTATCCTCTGATCTTCATATGCCCCAGCATATTGAAAAAATGTACAAGTATTTTCTATCGGGTAGGTCCATAGAGTGACAGTTGCCAATGCAGTGCTTGCTATTTCACACAAACACCATTTCATACGTTCAACTTCTTGGACTTCCTAAATCGACCCCATGTCTAAATCAGGGTATTTGACAATCTCAGATGATGCTACTGCCTATGTGCCAGTTAGTTCATCTTCCTACCAAAATCATCCATGGCACCATGGTATCCACTAGCTGTACAATTTATAGGGAAGCACAAGATTAATCCTGTCACCTGCAATCATCTTGAACATGTTCATATTTAGTACTCAAAAAATTTGTAAGCTCCTCCCAATACAGGAAATATTTTTTAAGGAAGCATATGTATTTCTGATTTACTAAAAATGATGTCATTCTCCTCTCATTCTTCTTTTTGGTATGAACCAAAAGCGGCTAGGAGCAATGCCTCAAATAACCAGAAATGACCTTTTGTTGATACAAATTGTATCTCTTTTTTTCCTGATTGTATAGAAACAAATGTACAAAACTCACCTTAAGCTAGGTTTGGCACTGAATTTTCACCACGATGTTTGTGGCACTGTGTGTCACAGGGAAGTAGCTCAGGGGTTGTGAGGGAGCTTTTATTTCTAAAGGGCAGTAGTAATTTATAGACAAAGACAATTTTTCAAGGCCTCTTTATTACCAGTGCACAGCTATCATGTGTACAATTTCAAGCATTATATTGCATAAGTTCTCTTTAGCCTATTAAATTTAATATGTCCTTGCAAAAGGGATTTTGTATAAAGTGTCAGTGTTAGTGAATCATCTGCAAGAATCTATAAATGGAGCTATATAATTGAATACGTAAATACAGCATGGTTCTTAGTTATTAGAGAAAGATTTTCTTTATATTGAGGTCTACACACTTCTAGACTTTCCATTTTGTCTGTAATTATAAAACAGCAAATAATAAGAAAGCATTGGGACCCCCTCGGATGACTTGATAATAAAATCAAGCTTCCTTCATGGGGCTAAGCATGTGTCTTTCAGAATACTTACCTCTAAGAAATCAGCAGGGGTTACTACAAAGCGTTTTGTGTGGTTTTCAAGAAGCAGTATATTATTTTGCGAGAGATGCTTTATAATTTTAATTATTTCACTGATTTTCTGACCTCATAGCAAGTCTGTGCCTGTTGAGGCCTTCAACTTTGTAGTTTTTCTGAATTTTTTTCTTCTTTTTGTGATTTTGTTGTTGTTTTCCTTTTGATCTAAAGGAGAAGTGTGACCCCGGAGTGGCATGGTCAATCCAGGGCACCCTTTCTGTAAGACAACTCAAAGGAAAAGAAGCCTTTTCAAAGGTAATATCGAGCCATTGCACTGTCTCTTAAGGTGCCAGGTATGGAAGGGAGAATAACAGATGCCTTATGGAAATGGTCTATAAAACTTTTCTTCTTCTAAGTAATAAAATAGATAGCATGATTTTCTCTCTCTCTCTCTCTCTGTCTACCCCCTGCTAGATTCCAGAATACTTCGCTTCTCTAAAATTCACTTTTTCTACTTTGGAATAAATTATCTTTATACAGTAATTCAAACACTGATTTATTTCCATTAACCTTTGGCCCTGAGTTTTCTTCGAACATAGAAGAGTTCATTTTGAGAGGCGCTCAGTTACCATTCTATCTGTGCTGTACGTGTGGGACTTTGTACAAATGCCTTTTGAGGGCCAAAAATTTCAATACACTTTGTTCTACCTTGTGAACCAGGTCTGGATCTGCACAGAGAAAGTAATGCTGAGCTGTCCAAAGAGCCCGTTCAGGTCTCTCTCCTAACCCTTCTCTGCCTTTCCCTAGTTTGCTTATCCTCAGGTCTGACACTGAGGAGTGCATAGTCTTCAACTGAAATGGCACTACAGTTACTTCTCATTGGAAACAAGTGTATTTCTGGAACCTGCTTGTCTAAAATAGTCAATGCCTTTGTAAAGACTCAGTATATTCAATATCTATTGTATGGTAGCTAGCTATATACATAGATTGACTATTTTTAGTCCTGGTTTGTGTATTGTTGAGCTATAGTAGTTTGCTTTATCCATTTGTGGGATTAAACAATACTGTTTAATGGTTGTAAACTTTTATAAAATCTCTTTGGGTTTTTTGTTTGACCCAAACATAATGTAAGTCTCAATGACAAAATACACAAAGTTAACAAGAGGTGAGTGAAAATATAGCCCTTCCCCAGTTTTGTCTGCCCCATAATGCACGTGCATTGCTTTCTGTATGCTCTCACTAGCATGAACGTGCTATGACTACTTCATGAGGTTTTAATTTGTTTCACCTATAATTGTGATGGAAAATGCTGTATCACTGACAACAATGAACTGTAACCGTAGTTATTTACTGCATAAACTATTTGTCTACTAACTACTCATGGCTCTGTTTCTTTAACAACACCAACAACAATGGGCCAGGCGTGGTGGCTCATGCCTGTAATTCCAACACTTTGGGAGGCCAAGGCAGGCGGATCACCTGAGGTCGGGAGTTTGAGGCCAGCCTGGCTAACTTGGCAAAACCCTGTCTCTACTAAAAATAAAAAAATTAGCTGGGCGTGGTGGCACGCGCCTATAATCCCAGCTACTCAGGAGGCTGAGGCAGGAGAATCACTTGAACCCGGGAGCTGGAGGTTACAGTGAGCTGAGATCGCGACACTGCACTCCAGCCTGGGCGAGAGTGACTCTGTCTCAATAAATAAATAAATAAATAAAAGAACACCAACAACAAAAGCCATATCACACATACATACATATACTCCAGCAGTATGCTCCTAACTATTAAATGTATATCCTTGCCACTTATATTTTGAGATAAAC